GAGTCAGAATTGGCTTAATGGCAACAGGTTTGATTTTTGGTTTTTCACTTACTGTGTAACTTTATGAAGTTACTTTCTTAACCTTAGTCTCAGTTTCCTTTAAAATGAAGGAAATACTACTACCACCTCAAGGGTTATTGAGATGATAAAAATATTTTAATCATGTAAACCAAAAAAAACCAAACCTATTGCTGTCAAGTCAATTCTGACTCATAGCGACCCTATAGGACAGAGTAGAACTGCCCCACAGGGTTTCCAAGGAGCACCTGGTGGATTCGAACTGCCAACTTCTTGGTTAGCAGCTGTAGCTCTTAACCACTATACCACCAGGGTTTCCATTAGTCATGTAAAGTGATTAGCAATTCCTGGCACATAGTAAGTGTTTAATCAATGCTAGGTAGGCATTGTTGTAATTGTCACCATCAACATAGTTGCTATAAATAGCAAAGGAGAGAAAGTCAGGACACTGATTTGTTCTGGTTCTGCTACCACCTGGCTATATACTGCTTTAGGCAAACCACTTACCCTCTCTGTTTAGTGGTTCTCTCATAACATGAGAGGATTGAATACAGCTTCCCAACCAGTGTGCACCCTGACCCCTGGGTGTGCTGCAAATGGATTATAGGTATCTCAACATATTGATCTTCTCAGCACTTGGGGAATTGGGCAAGGTCTGGGTAGCAAGACTCTTGTGCTGGTCTCCGATGGCCTGAACAGCCTCGTTCATTTACCCTAAGGTGGCATATAAATAGTGTTTTCAATGTACACAATAATGTGAAAAAGATTGGCAAGGATTACTGAAATGTTTCTTCCAGGTCTTACAGCCCAGATTTCTCTCTTGGTAGTTGTGTGACACCAGGCAAATTACTTAGTCTTCTGAGCTTTGAGTTCCTCATTTAAGTAAGATATACTCAAAACTGTTATTCGTTTGAATAAGATACATGATTTTTCAAGTCCAATGTTGTACGTAAGAAAATGAAGACTCGGTAAAAGTGCAAAGCTCCAAGATTGTTGTTTCTTTTGGGGATCTTTAACATTATGAATATGATGCATGTGGCAGAAATTTATCAGACCCAGTGTAGAGGAATGGAACTGTTGATCATTAACATTTGGGAGTAAAGCACAGCAGAGTCTGAACTGGAGTTTTTTAGTCACTGGGCTTTGGAGCGCAGTTAAAGTACACAGTCATTGGAAGTTGTCCGTGTTCACTGAAGACAATATAAGAGGACTCAGACTTGGTTTCCAAAGCAAAAGAATATGCCAGCGGTGCCTTGATTTATAGAAACAAACCCCATGTATAAAGTGATACCGATAAATTACATTTTAATAAATATAGACAAATTTTCCCACTGATACAGTATACATATTGAGAAATGTTCTACCTTCATTTCAGATCAGCCACTAATTGGTTGTAGCTTCTATATATTCTCACCCTGTAACTTTTTATTTTTTTAATCAAGGTGTCAATAATTTGCAAACAATTGAAGGATTAGGAGAGCTATGGCATAGAATAAGTGACTTAGAGAATCACTCAACAAAAATACGTTGAACATCTACTACGTGCCCACATCGTTCTACTGCTGGTCATAAAGAGTTGAACAAGACAAAAAAAAAAAATCCCTGTTACTGGAGTTTACTTTTGAGTGGGAGAGAAAGACAATAAAAAATGATGTTATATTATATTATACTGTGTCAGGTTGTGCTAAAAAGAAACCTGAGAACAGAGCTTGGGGACAAAGCGGGCACTCTAATGGACAGGATGGCCAGAGAAAGCTTCTTCAAGGAGGTTGGGTTTGAGCAGACCTGAATGTTTGAGTAAGCCATGTGACTCCATTTTTGCTTACTGTATTTAATTAAAGTGGGACCCACCTCTATGCTAAGCCTTTCCTTGCAGGGAAGGGCTTTGACGATTGTGTACAAACAAATAAACAAAACAAACCCATCTATTCTGATCGATAGCGACCCTAAAGAACGGGGTAGAACTGCCCGATGGGGTTTCCAAGGAACAGCTGGTGGATCTGAACTGCCGACCTTGTGGTTAGCAGCCGAGCTCTTGACCACTGAGCCACCAGTGCTCCAAATAAGAAAAAAAGCCTTTATTAGTTAATGGCGTCTAAGCATGGCTTACCCCAAAAGAGGAAGACTGGGTTTGATGACCTTAAGTTTCTTTTCATTAATCAGATTTTACTATTCTCATCAACGTAATTATCTATTAGCTAATGAAGGGATACTAGTTCCCATTCAGAAAACATTTTTGACAAATACCCTGTACTTTAATTAAAGTTTAGCATTTCCTACACAAAGGAAATAGCTGATAATGTATTATTATGAACCTGCCTGCTTAGATAAATAAAGCCACATAGCAGGAATTTTTAAAGACTTCATCGGAACCATGAATTAGCGTTCACTCATTTTCCTTTGTTTCCTTAGTAATGTTTGGCACATGTCCTTCCTCTCTATTTTAGTCTCTAGAGTTGGATGGAGGGATTCCATATCCTGAAATTGAGCAAACATTTTTATTTCTTTATTTTTAACTCTTGTATTTTTCTGCAGTCTCGCGATTTACATTCCATGGATTTGGAGAAAGTTAGACCGAGGCTTAGCACTGTCACCACCAGCAGAGTTGGGATGGGTGAGGGGATTGTGAAGACTTTATATTTTGTTCCTTCCTAAGGCAGTGGAGCTGGTCCTTACCAGCACAGTTTGAGAGACAATGGAAAATTCCTTTCTTACAGTGGATATGATTCTTTAAATGCCATCTTAGGACAAACATTCCCCTTTGAAATCCGTAGCCTTTAAAATGCAAGCATTTCAGTTAGAAGTAAAACATGAAGATTAAAATCCTAGGTGGGACTGAAAAGGAGCTTTGCTATCTTCTAGAATAGGGGTTCTCAAAATGTGGGTACCCCAGTCCCTTTCAGGGTTTCCATGTTGACATTTGCACTGCAGGTACAAAAGCAATGGAGGTGGAACTGTTGACATTTGAATTTGAATAAAGGCAATTGTACCACACAACGGCTTCATTACGACATACTTGCACTTTAAAAAATGTATAGATACTTATATATATACATGCTGCTGCTGCTGCTGATGACTTATGCCACTGAGTTGATTCCAACTCATAGCAACCCTATAGGACAGAGTAGAACTGCCCCATAGGGTTTCCAAGGAGCAGCTGGTGGATTTAAACTACCAACCTTTTGGTTAGCAGCCTAACGCTTAACCACTGTGCTACCAGGGCTCCATATATATACATATGCATATATAATATACATATATAAACATATACATATATGTGTGTATATTTATGTAAATATATATCTGTATTTTTATGCAAATAACATACACCTTCTACATTAGTTTGCCAACTGTGATCTTTCCCTGCAAAGTATTTTCGTAAGCACCGCTATGCCAATTTCTTTTTACGTGTTACTGTTAGATGTTTTATACATGTTGTTGTTTTATATATATACACATATATGTATATAACCAAACCCATTGCCATTGAGTCTATTCTGACTCATGATGACCCCATAGGCTAGCTACACTTAAAAATGCCCTTGGAGCAGCAAAATTTAATCTTATTAAATTTTGACCCTTGTGTATACGTCTTTTAGTATTATGCATGCCAAATTTGAAAGTACACAAAAAGCACTTCTACTCTAAACCAAAGTACAATGGCTGTCTCAAGGAAAAACACTTGTGTGATTATTTTGAGCTGCGAGCTGAACTAGCTGCTTTGTTAATGGAACCCCATTTTTTCTTGAAAGAACAGACAACAGGCAAACTATGATTATTCAGACTTGAGTGTTTGCAAGACATTTTTTCAAAAAATGAATGACCAAAACAACATATCGCAACAGATTGAATGCAGAACCAAATACGAGAATGCAGCTGTCTTCTACTAAGCCAGATATTAAAGAGATTTGCAAAAATGGAAAGCAATGCTAAATCTGTTTTGCTTCAGAACATGTAGTTATTTTCATAAAAATATGTTATTTATGTTCATGTAATGGGGTTATTATCTTTAAATGAAATAATGCATAAATAAATTTAAAAATTCTCAGTTTTAATTTCTAAAATGGTAAATCTCAAGAGCTGTATCCACATAAACAAACATAGGGGACTGAATCATTTTTAAGAGAGTAAAGGGGTCCTAAGGCCTAAAACTTTGAGAGCTGTTGTTCTAGACCAACTTTCTGATTTTACAGATGAGTAAACTCAGGTCATGATGGGTGATGTGACTCAGCCACAGGGTGGCAATTGCGAACTAGACCACATCTCTGCAAACCACTGTTCCATTGTTTTTTCTACACTGGTAACCATGAGTGGGAGCGCTGGTGGTGCAGTGGTTAAGCACTTGGCTGCTAACTGAAAGGTGGTGGTTTGAACCCATCAGCCACTCCGTGGGAAAAAGACGTGGCAGTCTGCTTCCGTAAAGATTTACAGCCTTGGAAACCCTATGGGTCAGTTCTACTCTGTCCTATAGGGTCACTATGCATCAGAATCCACTAGACAGGGTTTGGTTTTGTTTTTTAACCATGATTACTCCCATGTGAATAAGCTAATCATCTACCCCCGGACGAGAAAGCTGGGTGGGAGTAGAGTAGGCTCTGATGGCAGTCAGCTAACATAGGTCTAGCTCACAGCCTGGGAATGACAGACCAGATAAGACGCCAAAGGACCTCTTTCACGGACTGGGTCCCTCCAGCTGGGCTGAGAGGAGAAGAGTGGGTGCAAGTTGAGGAGGATCAGTACCTGATTCAGATTTTACGCCTCTTTTTCTGAAATGGAGCCCTGGTGGCACAGTGGTTACGAACTTGGCTGCTTATCAAAAGGCCGGCGGTTTGAATCTACCAGCTGCTCCTTGGAAACCCTATGGGGCAGTTCTTCGTTGTCTTATGGGGTCGCTATGAGTCAGAATTGACTCAACAGCAACGGGTTTTGTTTTGTTTCCTGAAATACGCTGAGTTTTCCTTATCCCTTGGCTTTTCCTCCAGAGAGTTTGCCCGCTGGAAAGTAAACAGCTTGGCTCTGGAAAGGAAGGATTTTTTCAGTTTGCCATTGCCTCTTGCCCCAGAGTTCATCCGGAACATCCGCCTTCTTGGAAGGAGACCCAACCTACAACAGGTTACCGAAAACCTCATCAAAAAGTACGGCACTCATTTCTTACTTTCTGCCACCCTTGGAGGTAAGCAAAGCAACATCATGACCTCACACTAATTGTTTTCCAGGTCATTTAAAATAGCTTGAAGAACCATTGAGTATAGCTCCAACAGTCTTCCTGGGCCTTTTGTTCTTCTAGGTCTAGTATTGCACGAGAAATGTTTTTTTTCTGGTGTGTATCTGAGAACAATTCAGTCTCTTGACTTCCACATTCACCCCAGGACGTTGCTTTTGAGTATAAGCATCCCATTGAGGAAAGGTGAGGTTTAAGGAGGTCGGGGATGAACATGCATCTACTAAGCACATGCCAGCAGGGGGCACTCCCAGTTCTCCTTTGACTGAGCCATCTAACCCTGAGGCTTCTTCACTTCCTCATATTTGCTGACTACGGTTGTCAGATCCATAGGCAAAGAAGTAGATGCTGTTGAGTCCTCGATCCCTGCTTCCTCTCTATAAGGATTGGTAACCACCCAAACCACTTCTAATGTGTTCATAACTCTGGGCTGGGTGGGGGTGGGGGTGAGGGTGGGGATGGTGCAACAAGTGGCTAGGACCCAGGGCAGAATCAAAAGCTCTGAAGAGGCAGTCTTCTGTACCCTGGGAAGAAGAAAGCAGGATTAACTGTAACATTTAGCTCCCTGTCTGATGGACAAAAAGAAGCTCCTCAAGGGTTCAGGCCAGCTGCCAGCATGTGGTAGGTGTTGAGTGCTTGATGGGGAGGAGGGCGGCTGAGCTTCAAGGCTTTTGCCCTTTCTGAGGGAGCAGAAATATCCATGGTGACTTCTCATAAACAACTTGAGAGAGAGAATTCTGTCTCTCCCATGGAGGTAAATTGACTGAGACAGAGATCAGTAGAAGATGTTAAATGGATAAGCTGAGGGGCTGGGTGAGCTTTGGGAGACTTAAAGAACTAAGGAAGAAAAGGAGGGCCTCTCACGCAGTGAGGTTGTCACCCTATGACACAGTCTGATGAGATCGTTCTAAAGATGCTAAAAGACAGGGTAAGAGGGTGACAGTAGGGGTAATAGGCTCCCTCTTAAATCTGTCTATCTGGAGAAGGGTTTCATGTTCTTTCTGGTAGGGTACTAGGAAGCAGGAGGCCCCACCAACGAACACATGTTGTTTGCTATAGGAGAAGAATCCCTGACAATTTTTGTGGACAAGCAGAAGCTGAGTCGAAAGACAGAGACAGGAAGAAGTGCCCCTGTGGCCGTGGGAAGTGGGAACAGCTCTGCCGTGTCCCTGGAGACCCTGCACCAGTTGGCGGCCTCCTACTTCATCGACAGAGAGAGCACGCTGCGACGGCTGCACCATATCCAGATAGCCACAGGGGCCATCAAGGTAACGGCCTAGAGAGAGACTGGTGGGGCAGGAGTGGGGAGGGACAGGCAGAGAGAAACCAAGGGGGAGGCCAGAGCCTTAACCACCTCCAGGTCAGCCAGGCCTGCCTGATCTGAGAGAGAAGGATGCTTTCTGATGGAAGGTACAACCGGCCCTTAAACATGGTCTGGATCTTTCATTCTACAGCAAATACTCATGTAGCATCTGTATCTATTTATATAGATGCTACTCTATTCATGTAACATCTACCCAGGCTCCAACCGAGGGACTGTAGTGAAAAAGACAGACAAGGTCACTACTCTCACAGAAGTTACATTCTAGAGGGAGATGTTGAAAATAAATAAGTAAAATAAAAAAAAAAATAGCAAAGTAATTTTAAATAACAATATGAAGAAACGAGAGTCATAGGTACAGATACCCTGGGGTAAAGGGAGGGAGCAGCTAATATTAGCTATATTGGTCAAGGGAAAGCATTCTGGGGTTTTGACTTTGAGGCTGAGCTCTCAATGATAAAAAGCCAGCTGTGTGCAGATCTGAGAGAAGAGGGTTCAGGCAGAGGGAACAGTAAGTGCTAAGGCCCTGAGGTAGGAACCAGCTTGGTATCTTGGTGGAATACAGAGAAGACTGGTGTGACACTGGTACAAAATGAGGTTGAGAAGTAGTCCAGAGCTAGATTACATGCCCGTGATAGGAAATGCTTGTATAATTCGAAGTGCAGTGGAAACTATTGGAGAGTTTTAAGCAGGGGAGTGATATGATCTCACGTATGTTTGAAAAAGATAAATAGTTATTGTGATTATAATAACTATAACCTCCATCCCATCTTCTCTACTTACATCAAGAAAATTTCTAGGAAAGTTCATATTGTTTTAAGGAAGAGAAGACTAGTGGGAAAAAACAAACAAACTAGGGAATATTGGTTATGGTTTTATTTTAAGTATAAAGTTGGGGTGGTGAGTAGAGGTGAACCTTGTCTTATATCCTGCTTTTATCCCATCTGAAATTCATAAGGAATGTTTTTCATTTATTTATTCATTCAATAAATATTGAGTGCCTGTTCTGGGTTTTGGGAATACAAGAGTTAACAAAACAAATAAAGTCCCTGCCCATATAAAGCTTAAATATTATTGGCAGAGACATAATTTAGATAAATACTTAATGTCAGGTGGTGATCACTGGTCTGAAAACATAAAGGCAGGTAAGGGGATAGAGAATGATGGGGACATGGTACTTTGGAGAAGACCTGTCTGAAGGGATGCCATTTAAGCAGAGACTGAATGAAGTGAGGGAATGAGCACATGGATATCTTGAGTGAGAGCATGCTAGGCAGAGGGAACAGCAAGTACAATTTCCCTCAGGTGGAAGTGTGCTTGGTATGTTTCAGGAACACCAAGGAAGGCACTGCAGCTGGAGTGGAGCAAAAAGGGTTCGGGGGTCAAGTGGGAGATGAGGCTGCAGAGGTTGTAGGAGCCAGATCATGAAGGGTCTTACTGCACAAGGTAGAGGGAAGAAAGGGGGATCCTGTAGACCAATACAGTGGCAATTTCAGTGGTCAAGGTCAAGATGAGAAATAATGGTGGCTTGGGCAAAGGTAGTGGTGTAGAAGTAGGGAGAAATTAGTAGATTCAGAATATATTTTGATGGTAGAGCCTACAGTATTAGCTACTAGACTGGAAGAAAGAAGTCATGAATGAATGCAAGATTTTTGGCTAGAGCAGCCAGAACAGTGATTTCATTTACCAAGAAGGATAATACTGGCAGGAGGTACAGATTTGAAGCAAATAAATCAAGAGTTTGGTTTAGACATGTTGAATTTGACATTACTATTATACATCCAAAAAGAGATACCTAAGAGGCAGTTGGATGTAAACACCGGCATTTCAAAAGAAAGGTCATGACTGGAGACACAGATTTGGTATACAAATATACACATGCATAGATGATATTTGAAACTATAGGAAAGGATGAGATAAAATCACCAAAACAGTGAGTGCAGTTAGAAAAGCAGCCCTAGGGCTGAGTTTGAGGCACACCAATATTCAGAAATTGAGAAGTGGAGGAAAATCCAACAAAGGAGGATGAGACAGAGCAGAGAGGGATGAAGAAAACCAGACTAAGTGGGGTCACTACAGCCAGTTGAAGAAAGTGTTTCACAAAAGAAAGAGTGAGCAACTGTGTTAAATGCTGTTGAAAGTCACGAAGATGAAGACTTAGAGCTGACCTTCGATTTGGCAACCAGGAGATAACTGGTAGCCTAGATGAGAGCAGTTTCAGTGGCTTGGAGGGTATAAAAAGCCAAGTGGAGAACATTCAGGGGAGAAAGCAAAGTGGGTGATCAGAGATAAGAAAAGACCACTCTTAAGGGGTTTTTATGTTAAGACAAACAGAAAAATGAGTGATAGCTGGAGAGTTACAAGGGGTCAGGGAGGTTGTATTTTTGTTTTTAAGATGAGAGCTATTCCGGGATATTGTATGTTGATTGAAATGATTCAGTAGGAAGGTAAAAACTGATGATGAATGAGAGATGGGATAGTTGCAGAGCAAAATCTTTTGAGTAGGTGAGAGGGGTTGATATTCTGTGCATGAATGGAAGGGTTGGTCATATATAGGCACATGAACACTTCGTCCTTTATAACAAGATGCAGTCTGGAGTATACAAGGACAAATGGCAGTTGGTTGGCAGATGTGGTGTTGTGGGAAGATGAGGATGTTCTCTTCTGAATGAGTCTATTTCTCTTCCAATTGATTCTATTTCCTTGATGAAACAAGAAGCAAAGACCTTAAAAGTCAGGAAGGAGAAGGGATTGCTGAGGAGAGAGAAGAATGTCTGAAATGGTCTTCTCAAGAGTAGGAACGTCAACTGGCTAGCTAAGTATAATGGATTACTGGGCAGCACTGAGGGCTCGCTTGGGACTTGTGGTCATAATTTTAACATGAGACTAGTCAGTACAGTTACGAGTTTTAGCAGCTGCATTCAGCAGTTCCTGTACAGACAGCCATGGAGTAGATTGGAGAGTTGGTTTTAACCAGTATATGTGTGTGTGTGTGTGTGTGTGTGAGAGAGAGAGAGAGAGAGAGAGAGAGAGAGAGAGTGAGTGCACACACAGGATGATAGAAAAAAGAGGCAAAGGGATTGACAGTATATACAGAGGAGTGATTATAGTGACGACCAATGAATCTAAGTTGGACAAGCAGGGAAATGAGGCCATTAAGGGCTGATAGAAAGTGAAAAGTTGATGTGGTCAAAGGATTAGAAGTCTAAGTAAGTTTGATGACTTGTTAGAGAAAGTGGCAGAGTGTGATACTTACAACTGAGATTACAGAGGGAGGAAAGTTACCAGTAATATTAGGTTCTAGGGCATGGGCATGGATGACTAAGAAAGGGTTGGAGCACAAGGTGAAGTGGTGAGGTGAGGAGGTGAGGGAACTGAAAGGCCAGGGTATTGAAGGATTATCTATACAGATGCAAGGTCAACCTGAATGATACCAGCCTAGCGGTGGTAAGAAAGATTGTAAGCCTAATACTAAAACTCCTCAATGAATGAGGAGGAATAGCAAGAAAAATAGACTGCAACAAGGAGGGGTAGTGAGTGATAGAGTTCTGATGGAATATGCAAGGAGCTAGAGCTGGCTAGGGAGCAACAGTGGTCACAATGCCCAAAATGAAGAGCATGGAGGACCCACATCTCTTCCACACCTAGGAAGGTGAGGTGTGGGAAAGAAGACAGACACTACCAGAGAAGACTGCAGTAGAAGCGTGCTCTCAGGGTCAGCCAGCTGTGGTTAGAGCACAAGGTGAAGGGGACTCTTAAGAAGAGATTGAGGTTATAGGGGTTTATACTGAGGGTTGATCATAAGACCCAGAGAGCACAATGAAAGTCAGTTAAAGAGATAGAGTCAGATTAGGGGATGTGCAGTGTCTGGAATGAGCATCTAAGAGATGAGGATGACTAGAGCTAACAGGGATGTAGGGCCTTGTGTGGTGCAAATGGTTAACGCTTTCAGCTGCTAACCAAAGTTGGTGGTTTGAGGCCACCCAGAGGTACCTTGGAAGAAAGGCCTGGTGATCAATTTCCAAAAAAAATCATCCACTGAAAACTCTATGGAGTCAAGTTCTACTGTGACATACATGGGGTTGCTATGAGTCAGAATCTACTCAATGGCAATTGGTAGGGCACATTTGGGGACTGGTATATTACATGTAAACCAAACCTATTGCCATTGACTTGATTACAACTCATAGAGACCCTATAGAACAGAGTAGAAGTGCTCCATAGGGTTTCCAAGGTTGTAATCTTTGTGGAGTAGACTGCTACCTTTCTCCTGCACAGCAGCCGGTGAATTTGAACCTCTCACCTTTTGGTTAGCAGCCGATAGGCAGCTTAAAATGATGAAAGAGGGACTGTTGGTAGCTTGGAGAGGGCTTTATCAAAAGGACAGAACTCTGTGGAATGATCCCCTTCCGCTTTCAGTCCAGTAGTGGGCTCTGTCAAAGTTGAAAAAGAGTTGGTCTTATCAGGAAATGAAAGGTATGCCTGGATCGACACCCCAAAGGTCTCATTAATGTTCCTTCCTATTCTTTGAGCTGACCAACTTTTCACTGTCTATCATCCTTTAATGGCCTCATTTCCCTCCTCACCTGATTTAAATTCCTTGGTCCACCACTTTAAGCACTTCCTTGCATATATCTTCATCTTACCCTTGGCCTCCTTTTCATGTCCACTGCCATTCCCCTAATTCAGGACCTTCTCAGTTCTTACCTGATTTTCTTGCATTATCCTTTTAACCAATCTTCCTGTCTCCATCCTAAGCTTTTCTCCCTGATTCAATCTCTATGCTGCTGCTATGAGTACACATCATGGCATCATATCATCCCCCTATTTAAAACCCTCCAATAGCTCCCAAGAGTACCTGGGACAGAGCCCAAACCACCGTACCACGGTGGCAGTGTGCCACAGTGGAAGAAACATAGTCTGAGCTCTACCATTGCTCATGGTGTG